ACTGGAGAAAAGTCTTATTGAAACACATCTGAGCTGCTACGGCAAAGTAATTACCCAGTCTTTTCTCCCATCAATTTGGTGGAGGGCTTTTCAGTACCAGTAACATTTCTTATTTTCACGGTGACAGTTATGATACAAGAAGGTACACACCACGAGCTAAAATGAGTTGACCAAGCTATACATGGAGAAAAAAGCCTTAACCTTTGCTATTGCTGATCATTACAGTGTGCTGATGCAAACCAGCTTCATGAAATTTACACTTTTTCCAACTGTGTTTGAACAGTTACACCGCAGTAGCCAAGTTTTATAATGTACTTTTTTTTTTTTAAATCAGATAAATGAATAGTATTAGATTCCTTTCACCATTTTTCCCCAGCAGACATTAATAGAACTTAAACATTTTGGGCAATGTAACAAGCAGCTAGGCTTCGTTTTCTATTGGTTAACTTAAGTTTGCAGATCCCTAGTAAGAATTTGCTTTTGCAGAACCCTTGAAGTCCCTGCCCCACAGTTGGGATGCTTTGGCATTTTAGCAAAAAGTTTTTTGAGAGTTGACTATAGAAACTTGTTTCCTGAAAGCACCATCTACAGAAAACTGCTAATGCATTTTATTAGTTTCAATTAACCAGGATAAGCACGGCCAACACAGAATTTGGTTGTCTGAGAAGCAGTCTGACCACATTATATTCTAACACCACATTCCAATGGCTGATGCTTCCCTCCTCTGCAACTGAAAGATGCTGGCTTGTTCTGGTCTACAAGCCGCACTGTCAGAAACCCCAAAAACCCTCAAAACAACGAAGGTCTGCACAGTACTCTCAATTTATAGCCTCTCATAGAAAATGCATACTAGAACAACAAAAAGACGCAGTTTCGAGAGGCAGAAGCATATACAGATAAAATTCTAAGCTGTATCTTCAGACATTAGAGATCTCTTTCCAGCTTCAACACTGACCTGCCTTCTGACACCTTCTCCTTGCAGACAGAAGTTCCTTGCTAAAAGTTGGATTTCATGGTGTGTAGCTGGTGACAGGGCAAGCAGACAGGAGGACGAAAAGCAGCTTCTAGTTTCTTTTTCAACTCCTCACAATATTTCCGTGTTTTAGAACATCAGTTTGTCCAAAGCATCAGCAGAAAGTTAAGAAGTGCCAAACTAAAAGGCAGACACTGTTCTCCAGATCACTACCAAAACACAGTCTTTGTGCCTATTCCAACAATGCTCTGCATGCCAGTAACTTGCAAAATGACCCGATAATAAATACAGAAAAACATGGGAAAAGGGACAGTCTCCTAAAGTTTACTTTGAATAAATACAGAAAACTTTGTAAAAAAGCAGCCAAAAAGACCAGTTCGGGCTCCATTCCAGCTCTCTGGCATAATACTTGTTCTGTCAGCATTAGAGCCAACACTTCAAAATTTGGCTGACACACCCAGGAAAGTGGCTCCCAACACTCTGTATGTGTTTATACGAATAGCCAAGACTGAGCTTACACCAGCATTCTTAGGGTTTGTTTGCTTGTTTTAAAAGAGAGCCTGCTTTAGGGATTTCTGCATCATAGAATTAGAGCAGAAACAAGAATATTGACTGTTGTGAAGACGGGACGAGCCCATCTGCATTTATTTCACCTTCAACATCAGTTATGCTGGTATTTGACAAGTCCAATTTAGTCGTCTTCTACCTCACAGTACACAGTCCTGAATTAAAAGATAACAAACTGTTCTTGTAATCTTCCTTTCCTTGCAGTAGGGAAACAAAACCCCACGTTTTTTGCCAGTCATTCACAGCACACATTCACACAGACCTCCAATCTATCAGTCTGCCCCTTGAAGATAAAAATCAAACTCTACAGACTTCCCCCTCTCAACCAAGAGCATCATTTATATAGAACAATGAATATTCACTACTCTAAGTTACTGCACCATGCCAATTGAAGAAAAATTTTCTTTATGCGATAAATGACTTTGGAGAAAATTAAATGACTAGATACTGAAGCCCCAGGTATTGTTGTTTGTCATAATAAACAATAATCCTCTAAACTCTTGAAGTTGTACCTTGGACCAAACAGTGTGCATAACTAAAACCTCACCACTAACTAAAGGAAATAATTTCACCTCAGACTGTCTCACCTCTCTGCTTATTTAGCAAGGTGCAAACGTAGCAAGAAAAAGCACTCTATAGGTGCAGTTTCACTTAACACTTACTTATGTCTAACTGAACTACTGCCAAAAGATGCAGTTTCAGTCCTGCTGCTACCTTATCCCTGCCTTGTGTACATCCTGCTTCCCTGTACTGATCCAAGCCGTTGCAGAAGGAGCCAAGTTAGCCTGGCTGATCCAAAAGAAAACCGAAGCAGCAAAGAAATTTCCATCCAGAGTAAACAACTTGAAGCCACACACCCCCTAAAATTGCCACACTACACATCAGAACGCTTCATTTCTAAGGCCTTTTTAAAGGCCTGGGACAAGAGATCTGGAAATGCAGTGCGTTCATCAGCCCTGAGGATAATTCTGATGGAAAGGGATCTCAGGAGGTCATCCTGTCCAAACTTCTGCTCAAGGCAGATAAATTCATCCAGGGGATGAGAAGACATAATCTGCTTACTGTTGGGAGCTCTAAAGGTTAAGTGACCTGTTAAGGTTAAGGAGGAGGTAAATGAAGCCTCAGAATGGCTCAGCAACACATTCATAACAGAAAAAGAGGAAGGAGGGGGCAGGGAAGCTTTGCTATTGAACTTTAGGTTTCTTTGGGTTTTTTTAAAAACCAATACTCACTTCCATTCAACAGGAAAACTGGCTCAGCTCCAGTTTAATGACCACTGCACCTACCAGGATCACCATGTTGCCCTAGCAAGATGAAAAGAACTGAAAAAACAGCAAGGCATACAGGATCTTCGACAGATGTGGAGTGTAAGTTTACTTACACAGTAAACTTAAGTAAGTTTACTTACACAGTAAACTTAAGCCATTCAGAACATAATAAGGAGTCTTAAAGACTCAGGTTTGTCATAGAAATGGCACTTATTTGGAATATTTGCCTCTAGTTAACCTAAAAAAAGCACTCCAGCAAACATTGCCATCATATCGGATACACAGATTATCCTCATTTTCTTAAATCAGTAGGATCGTGGATTTACCCACTTTGTCTGGACATAAGACTGCATTGGCAGAGCGTGCCAGTCACATGCTCTTGGAGCCAGAAGCACTTCTGTTCTTTGCCTATACAGCACATCACTCAATAGAGTCACTGCTGATATGTGAATTTCCAAAGCGTCACTGTGATACAGAAATACAAATAAATAATACAAATAAACAGCTTTGTATCTGCACTACTTACTACAGTCCTGAATATCTCTCATTTAGGAGGGAAAAAAGATAAGAAGAGGTTGATACTCACTTTTGCCAATCAGGAGCAGATTTTTTTAATTGTTTGGGTTTTTTTTTAAAAAAGAGAATAAACTGTAAATAATAAACTGTTGTAGAGAACAAACTCTGTTCACACTTGACAGAGTCTATTATTCTAGGCCAAACACCCCTCCATAAATCCCATTTTCGTACATGGCTTTGGGAACATCACACAATTTAGATGTTACTGCCATAATTGCTAATCCATCTACCCCAGTGACTGCCAAGTAAGCTTTACACTGCTGTGTTACTCACTGCCTGGTGGATGTCAGCCTTCACTTCTTCGCTCAGCATTCCCTCAAACACAAAGGAATCACCAAACTTCTCTGCCTGTAGAAAGCAGAAAAGATTCAACCATGTTATCAAAGGAATGTTATTCTTAAAATGCCACTCACATTTACAGCTTTATTTTATCAAGGATAGGGAAACTCTAACAGCCATTTTGAGCTCTCTTTTAAGGAAGCTATTTTGGAACAGAAGAGAAGGCTTCTCTTCATGCATTTTATCTCTGGATGTCATTCTTCAACAGCCACTGGACAGATGGCAGCTCACAGAGCTTCTGCAAATGTTTTTACTTTTAATTAAAAATGCAGTTCCAATTGTCCCAACTGCTTTAAAATGGTACAGTCAATAATCTAACATTCAAGGGCATATTTCATTTCTCTTGTTTTCCCTTTTGGAATGACAATAAAAGACTCAAGTCTTGTCACTTACTGCTCCTTCATCATCACTAGCACCACGTTTTGAAGTGCTGTTACAACAGCAATAGAAGAGTTAAAAGTAACCCAATCGTTATATCTCACATTATATAAAGTCAAAAGAAACAAAAACTACAAATAATTTCAATGAATCACAGTATATGAAACCAAGACAGGGTTTTTTTCCCTTGGTAAACTAAGTGAATTGATATACTCAGGAAGTCAAAACATGTTATCAGAATTCAACACATTTGCCTTTCGCAATTTCTTCATTTTATGATAGGCATGCAAAGACTGAGGATGATCACCAGGAGCTACTTCTGCACTCTCAGAGCTCTTCAAGAAGCAGAGTTTGAAAGAAGGATCCCATTCACTACCCAAATTGCCAGAAGTTTTAGCATGTGACCATAATCTTTATATATTCAGCTTTAGAAAGGAAAGAGAAGAAAAAAATACTTGATTTCTCTCACTTGCCCAATATGAAAGACCCAGACAAAGACACAAACATGTCTATCAAAGAAAAGAAAAAAAAAAAAAACCTTATTTCCCTCATTTGCTCAATATAAAAGACCCAGACAGAGGCAAAAAAGTTTATCACCTGAAGGACCCCAGATTTCAGTCTGACAGCCTCCATTAAGGTCTTTTTTTTTGTATTAAGTTTATTAAAAAATACTTTTGGTTCAACAAGATAGCTGTGCATCTGCAGATCTCCACACCCCCACCCCCCCAGAGCCTTCCATGTACTTTCAGGTTTCATTTGCCACTGGAGTTCAGTCTAGTCCCTAACAAAAGAAAACCAAGAAATAGGTTGGCTCTGTTTACCTGAAGTAATGTGGATATTATTTAAATACACAAAAAACAGCTCAGCTGCATCCCCAAAAAAAACCTGCAGAAGCAGTGCTGTTTACTCTAACTCTGAGTTTATTTTTCCAAATCCAGCATAAAAGGGGGCCCCATGTGAGGGGGGAAAAGGAGAAAGTGTAAGTGGAGCTCCCAGCTACACCAGCTGAGCCATGAAGTACTGTCTGAAACAGCCTCCAGCGGATGCAGCGCTGCATTTAAATACCATTTAGAACAGCTCCTTCCAGAAGCTGTTTGCAACAAGTAAGCCCTGTTCAAACTCAAAATTGTTAAGCAACCTTTTTTTTTTTATAATTATTGAGCTAAGAACTTAAAAACAGAAATAGTGCCATAGTTAAAAGAAGCTCTTCATCCAACCAGAAGGATCCTGTCTTCCGAATGAGAACCAGTTTATCAAATGAATTCAGCAAAGTGCCTCCTTTGAGACCTGATCATTACTGAAGCTTTTATTTGCCTAAAAGGCCTGTCAGGGTTTTTTAAAAGTTGCGTAGGAACAGTCAACTGTCAGGAAAGATCAGAGCCTCAGGCACAGGTGGCTTCTTTCTTGGAAGAACCTTAACATATTCTTCCTTAGTCCATTGTTCCCAGTAACATGCATGAAACTATTATTACACTTGCTATTATCTCCTCTCTAGACAGTAGGGCTTTCTACTGCTCAGCTCATTAGCAAGTAGCTGTGCTGAACTCCTGCAGAGCCCTCAGCTATCACTGGTTTTTAAATCCCTTCTCCCCTGTTCCTCTAAAATACGGAAAATCTAACAACGTAGTTGTATCAGTATGCAGATGTCCTAGGACCCAAAGGGCAAACAACCCCCAAACAAAACAAAACAAGAAAAAAATCCTGCATGGACATCTTCAGCCACCTGTCAGCTTCAACCAGGCTGCCTCGGTCATACTGCGGGGAAGGTATTAGTTCAAACATCAAGATGCTTACTAAATGCAACAGCATACATCTAAATGCCCTTTCAGACCCCTGAGCAGCAAGGCAAGACAATTTCATCTCTCCACGACTTACGTCAGGAATATTCTAGCACGCGAATCCCAAGCAAGTACCGTGATGTCCTCCAAGAAAGAAGAGCTGAAGTTTTTAGCAGGGGTTTTGTCAGCACAAAGAAAGATGACAAAAAACTGCATATTCCTCCACCTCACCTCAGTAATGTACCCAGTGGAATTCACAAACATCTCGAATTCCTCATTGCTGACCTCGTACTGGTCCATGTAGAAACTTCTAACGTGGACTCTTCTAGCTGGCCATTCTCCATCTTGTTGTATTTGAGGCTCATCAGTGCCCATTGTGAACACTCCTCCTGGAATAGCGACCATCTGCAGAGAAAACACCACCCAAAAGATTATGAAAATGAAAGACTGAAAAGTCTCATAATAGTTTTACTTCTCTTCCACCTCATCTTTGGTGGTGCTTTGCTTTGAGCAGCGTTTCACTGACAAAAGCAGTACGACAAAATGGCAACAGTGGCGTCTTGATCACCACCTGTTTGGACAAAATACCAAACAGAACTGAAATTGAGAACAAAAACCCCATTTGCAGCTCTTTCTACATGAAGTCTGGGTAATTCAGAACTTTTACTGTGGGTAATGCTTGTGCTTTAACGAGGAAAAACATGTTCCCCTACTGCACCTAAGAGCCAAGAAACATCCCAGAGACCTTTCTGCTCATTTTCAGGTGAGGAATTCCGCTATTTCACTCTATTCCTAGGAAGCTCGATGCATCAGTGAAGAATCTGGAGATTATGAAATGGTAAAGTGCTCTTTTGTGGACAAGCGTACGCTTGTTTGCATACTAACTACACGTGGGTTTCCATTTAGTAACAGGCTCACACAGCGTTTTATTACCAACCATGCTGCTGCTGGCAGATAGACCCAGCATCTGCAGCTCTCTGTGCCAGAGATGAGACAAACTTTCAAGGCAGTTATATTCCACTCCTTTGGGAGACTTGGGCAAGAGCTTCAAGCTTCAGAAGTAACGGACAGGTGACAGAATAACACTATTTCAATAAGATGTTTTCCCTTTAGGGCCTCAGCCAGATTCCAGAGAAACAAAACACGTCTTCCCTTGGCTTTAGTGGGCTCTTTCCAGGAAGACAAAGGCCCCAGAGGTTGTGTCATGCCTCATCAGATGTTTCCCAAGAGCCCTCTAAAGACCACAGACTGAAAAATTTGGTCCTTACCCAAAATACAAGAGCATCCATGATGCCTGCTCAGAAGCTTGTGTTGGAATGAAGAGGCTCAGGCTGCATAAAAACTTCCCAGTGGGCAGGTGATGTTTCAAGGGCTGACGCTACACGAGAGCCAGCTTGCCAAGAACTTACCCAACACATCATCAACAGATGAAAGAATTGGACAAAACTACTCCCTCTTCTTTCTTTTCAGCATTCTTGAGCTACCTCTACCTCTTAACTCACATGGAATTCAGCCACCTCATTCCTCCTCTGGCCAACAGTAAGAGGCTCATGAGTGGGTGAGCCCCAAGAAAGCCAGCAAGCACCTAGACAGGCATCCACTGTGGAAAATAATCTAGCATGTCATATGGCACCTTGACATACCCTGGCAGTGATCCGTGATCACGCACTACCCCTGCAAGGAATCAAAGCAGGTGAACCAGTGACAGAATGTAAAATAAGCAAAGCCAGTTTTAAGAGAGAACAGAATTTTTTTTGCAAGATCCTGACGTTTGGTATGCAGGAAATTCAAGTCTAATAACAGAAATATTCACTGAGAGAGAAGTTTCCAGTGTAGCAAAATTCTAACACTACTCCAGAAGTGCAGTTTAAGTTCTGACAGAAAAAGAAGCCTGGGATTTAGATGTATGAGAGTCCAAACAAAATTCCATATCAGTACAGCCAAATAACACAGTATGCAACATGTATATTAAAAGTAGCCAAACTGCAGAGATAGGGTTGTTAAAAAAAAAATAAATAAACTGATGTAATGTTATTTATTTGAGGAAGGAGGTTCACAGAACCAAACACGAACTTTGGACTTCATACATACAGCCATTCTGCAGCATGGCTTAGATTATAGGACCTTGATTCTTCTACAGTTGGGGTTTTTTTTCACTTTACAAGGTTATTTTCATAAAGTTGGATACTTTCACCAAAACAGTTTATCGGGATGCCCACACTGGCTCACAAACCAGGAAGACAAAAAGAATCACTAGTCACTTTCCAGCTCCTGGAGTTTACTGTTATTTATGTAGTTAACAACATTACCAGCATACCAAGTGAGCAGTAAATAAGTCCACACCAGCTATCCAGTACCTCTCCCTACTCTTAAGGGAATTTAGAGTATGTGACATCACCTTACATATGCAATTTCACTCTTTCTTCTCCACAATAGAACTCTCCTCTTGCTTGGTTCTCTGCCAGTGCCACTCAAAACTCACACAACTTGTAAAAGGCCTGTGAGAAGTGCTACTAACACTTTGTCCTTTGAACTAACCACGTTTGAAGCTGGCTGCATCCTCGTAACTTTTTCTCCACTAAAAAGAATCTGGGTACTTAGAGACTGTCTTTGACTGAATCCATAAAAGGGCTTCGGGATAAATTTGCTTACATTTTTTAAGACTTAGGGAATGACAACGTGGTACAAAGTTGCACCACTTCCTTCCTTCCTTCCAACCTCTTTCCAACCCACTGTAGCTAAAACAACTCCTTGAAGCTGTCTTCAAAGGAAGGTTCAGAGCTCACTAGTGAGCTGCTGTTTAAAAAGCATGTGAAAAATTAACTCTGGCTTTACAGCCAAGCATTCATTTTCCAAAACCTGAAAAGTCTCGACAGATTGTCAGTGTAAGTTCAGCTGAGAATGTCCGAAGGCTTCCTTATGAACCTGTGGCTTTTGCAGCCCTCTCACAGTGACAACTGAGACTTCTGGCATGTCCCCCAATGTTGTGTCCAACACCAGTACGAACCATTGATTCCACAGGATTATCCTCCCCCACCAAGGCTCATTCCACAGCTCCACCTCCTGTCTGGCAGCAGGACCTTGCTCTGACAGCCAGCTTTCTGGTAACACCACACCATCGGATGCAAGGCTCCAACAGCACTCTTCAGAAGAGAGCAGTGGCGTTCAACACCATGTGAAGAACAGATTTTCTGCACAGGCATCACATCCAGAAACCACATTTGTAGAGTTAATTAAGCAGCTTTAACATCCAGTTTCAAAATACAGGTAGCTGACACCGAGGAACTGCTCTCTAATAAATACCAAAGTTGAACTATGGAGGCAGAAATCCAACAGCAGAGGCTGGCAGATGTGTCATTTCCTGTAATAAAGTGTGCAACAATAATTGCCTGCATCTTCACCATGTTACTTAGCTGGCACATGCAGTTCATTGTCCTCAAAGCTCAACCTGAAGAACAGGGATTGCATTTTTCTACGATTATAGTAATGTAGAGCAGACCCACTAAAGTACTAGCTCCCCACTTCTACAGATGTGGTGGAAATATTTCATCTCAGTTGCGGTTGAGGGAGAAGAGAATTTTTTTCCCCTCACTTCCCTTCTAGTGAAATGTTTTCTAGCTACTCATAATCAAATTATGTCGTGAACATAGCTTAAAATCCAGCAGCAATTAGTTTGCTGAAGTTGCCAGCTTCCTTACATAAAGTAAGACTTAAATGATTTTTTTTCACCCTACAGTAAGACTCACAGCAAAACGCCGAAATTTATTACATGAAACGTAAATTAGTGACATAGTTCCCAAATGCAGTATGGATTATTTACTTCATACTCTTTAAATATTCTTGAATTTCTCAAGCGCAGCCTGCAACACTAAAGCCATAATTCCCCCTGTGTGTGACACAGGCTTCCCCCCACGCTGACACAGCCTCCCAGTGTTACACCACCAAGAGGCAACTGGGGAGGCAGCCCCTCACATTTTTGCTATTTGCAAGCCATTGCAAGCACAAGAACAAGATGTAAGTCTGCTGTGATATAGTTTTGTCTGCCAAAGTCTACTAGCACCTTCCATGAAGTGAATGATGGGTGCTAGGACAAGAGGAAATGGGTATAAGCTTAGTCAGGGGAGATTCAGGTTGGAGGTTAGAAAGAATTTCTTCTCTGAAAGGGTTGTCAGCCACTGGAATAGGCTGCCCAGGGACGTGGTTGAGTCCCCATCCCTGGATGTGTTTTAAGAAAAGGGTGGATGAACTGCTTAGGGATATGGTTTAATGGGGATTAGGGATGGTTGGACTGGATGATCTCTAAGGTCTTTTCCAACCTAGAAAATCTATGAAATCTATGAAACAGCAATCCCACTCCTAATAACTGAAGATACCTCATCCAGGGAGGCATTTGGTTTCCAATGACACAAGAAGTCCCAGTATCCCTTTGCAGCAGGCACTGTCGCAGCACATCAACCCACTCTGGGCTCTGCATGGTCTTTCAGAAGAGCAGCATTAAGCACTGCCTTCATCAGGAAGGCACATTGGGCTCTGCATGGTCTTTCAGAAGAGCAGCAATGGCAGAAATAGAAAGGAATATGCAGTTAAAGACACTTAAAGAGAATCTGAAAAGATATCTAGGTATGGATACATAAACAATGGCTTTGCTGAAAGACACACAGGACACCCAACACGTCCCTTGCTGGTGTTTCGATTCCACTGACACCAGCCCAGACCTAAAAGACCCTCTGGGGGAACCAGAGCCACAGCAGTACTGGTACTCGCCAAGAACGGGGCTACACCGCCAGAGCTGCCACCTGCCCGGGCTGCGCAGCAACACAGTCCCGCTCGGGGGAGTGCTGCGGCACGTGCGTTCCCAGTGTTAACTGGTTAGAGGCACGGGGAGGAGTGCCAGGACAAAGAGCCACGAGAAACACCTCGCAGCGGTCTGTCACATCTCAGCTTCGCACGGGAAGAAGCGGCCAGGGTGGGGACACAGGGCAGGCCACGGGGCACCGCGGGGGACACCGGCACTGCTGCCCAGGTCTCTCCATCTTCAGGAGCACCCGAACGCCCCGG